CTGAAAGGTTCGATTTGGGTCAAGGGCATGCACCTTGGTTGTGGGCACACCCCCAGTAGGAGGTGTGTGCAGGGGGAGCTGATCAATGTTTCTCTCTCATGGATGTTTCTAACTCTCTATCCCTCTTCCTTCCTCTCTGTAGAGAATCATAGAATATATATATATATTTTTTTAAAAAAGTGGGCAAAAAAGTTTTATAAAAACAAAAGATTTGGGGGTTATTTGTTATTCAACATGAGTTGGCCCATTCTGGTTGATGCTTCCTAATACAAATGAGTATAATAAGATTTCCCTTAAAGAGTTGGTGTGAGGATTATTAACTCACAGTAGGAGATTAAAAAGCAGTGGTTCTTATGCCTATTTTCACAGTTGTCCATGTCTATTGCTCTTATCAGGCATCCCACCTACACCTGCACACATGGCTCACTCGTTCATTTTACCACTACCATACTTTTCCTTCATGTCTCTACTCCCCCAGTTTCCCTCTTTTTTCATTGTTGCCATGGTATACCAGCTCCATTGTGGTACAACTCTCTAACCCTGCTTCTCATCTTTTTATTCCAACTGGCAACACAATTTTAGAGTTGAAAAGGACTTCATCTCTCTAGGAATCTGTACAAACAGACCTTCAACTTCACTCTTCAGTCTTTCAATCATCTATAGACACCTTGACATCTGGACTTCATCAGAAGTTACTACTTCCCTCTGATTACTAGGTCACTAGGTACTCCCTTTTTTAGATGTTATTCATTTTTTAAGGACACCAAATCACCTCTGGCCTCAAAGGAGTATGCAGTTCCTCCAACTTCACCTCTTCCACACACATTTTGGACACTTACCTTACCTTACATTCCACAGTTAATCCTAGCAAGTGCTTCTTATCCTGTACTTACCTTTAATTCACTTGTTTCTTTTCCTTCCTTCCTTCCTTCCTTCCTCCCTCCCTCCCTCCCTCCTTCCCTCCCTCCCTCCCTCCCTCCCTCCCTCCCTCCCTCCCTCCCTCTCTCCCTCCCTCCCTCCCTCCCTTCCTCCCTCCCTCCCTCCCTCCCTCATTCCTCCCTCCCTCTCTTCCTCCCTCCCTCCCTCTCTCCCTCCCTCCCTTCCTTCCTCCTTCCCTCTCTCTCCCCCCTTCTTTCTTTTTTTCCCTCCTCCTAGAAATCCCCATCCCTCCCTCAACATCAGACTGAGCAGTCCCTGGGAAGCCTCACCAGATGATTCACTTCTCTTGTTTCTGGGCTACTGACAAATTGTGAAGAGAAATAATGAACCCATACTGCATATGTTGATTAAAGCAGAAATAATTGGCTTTTCTGGAGCAATTGGCATTAGTGTTCATCCTTAATTCTTAGAAACCCCTCCTCCCATGGCCTCTGATTCTCTTTCTGGCCATATTTCACCTCTCTTTTCAATGATTCACTTTTCTCTGTCTGCTTCTATTTAGTTGCCAATTCCTAGAGTTTTGTGCTTGGGACTCTTCTCTTTCGAGTCTATATTGTTTCTCTAGAGAAATACCATTCACCCTAGGGCTTCTATGACCATTTTAATGTAGATGATGCAAATGACATTCACCAACACTTTCCTCTTAGAAATAGATAATGTCCCATTAGACACAGGGAGCTGAATGAATGTCCTATAGACCTTAAACGTAACATGTCCTCAAGCAAACACCTTCTCCTCTAACCCCAAGACCCTATTGTCCCTTCTATTCTTGATCTGGATTAATGGCATTACCTGTCTCCCAACTTAGAAACCTTGGTGTTATTCTCACTTCCTTTCTCTCAACCTCCACATATAGCCAGCTGCCAAATCTTGCGGCCTCTAAATTTAAACATCATTTGATTCTGTCTCTTCCAAACTGTATGCTACTGGCTTAAAATAGGCCTTCAGCATATCTTCTTTAGGCTGTATTACAATAGTTCGGCCTGTAATCTGTTTCCCTGAAAACATTTCCCCCCAACCTCATTCTCTAGCCTGCTGCTGTGATTTCAGAAGAAAATGCCAACCAGGTGTTTTCTCTGTGTAAAACCTTCTGCTGGCTCTCTATGCCCGTGGAGTAAAATTCAAACGATGTAATTTGGCTACAAAGCATTTAAGTTCCTGGCCTCAGTCTACCTCTCTATTTTGTTTCTCTTCCTACCTACCTGTTCTCCATTCACATTCTAGGTTCCTGTTGCATCATATTCTCACTACTTCCAGCTCATAACTCTCAGAAGTCCCTAAACTTTTTTCAAGCGATTCCTTTTCCTCTTCTCAATCCCTATTACTTGAAAAATTCTTACACCTGTTAAAACCAAGTTTAAGCATCACACACTCGGTGAAGTCTTCCCTGATTTTTCCAGGTTACTGATGATTGGTTCCTTTTACTCCCAGATACTTTTTAAAAAAAAAATTAAATTTATTGGGGTGATATTGGTTAATAACATTATATAAATTTTAAGTATACAGTTTTCTATAATACATCATCTATCGCATTGTGTGCTCACCATCCAAAGTCTAGTCTCCTTCTGTCCCCATGTATTTGACCCCCAGGGCAATTGATATGCGCAATAGACTATACGGTGTGGCTGTTAATTTTTCTATTTACATATTTATATCTCTACTGGACTGTACAGAATATAAGCTTCTGGTTATCAGAGAACTAAGTAGAAATTGTCTAATAAATATTGCGGAATGAATGCAATGTTATTTTCCTCCCAAGATGGTTTTGGTATCGGTGACTTGTCTTCTTTTCCACTCTTCCTGTTACATCCCTAATAAACCATCAATTTAAACTTAGATTTTTAATAGCCTCTAGGTTGATAATCTAGAGCAGCACAGTTCAATTATATAGCCTCTAGCCACATGTGAGTATTGAGAACTCCAAATGCAGCTAGTCCAAGTTATAATAAAATGAGCTGTAAGTGTATAATACATAATAGATTTTGAAGATAACATAAAAATGTAAACTATTGTACTAATAGTTTCTATATGCTCACATTTTGAAATATTTTTAATACATTGGATTAAATAAAATTAAATACTATTGAATTTAATTTCACCTGTTTCTTTTTTTATTTTTAAGTGTGGCTATTAGAAAAGCTTAAAATACATATCTAGTGTGGTTTTTATTTCTATTACTGTGATCCTTCAGTCCATCATGTAGATCATTTCTTGATGGTAAGCCTGTCTTCTGTTTTTTTTTTTTTTTTTCTTTTTTCTGAATTCTTGCAGTGCTAAGCAGAATTTTCTGAGGGGAAAACACTAAAAAATTGTGCTTATTAACTGGTTACTGCTGAACTAACTTCCCCAAAACAACCTTTTTTTTAAAAAAATGTAATTATTTTAGTTGAAGAATCTACAGATTTCCTATTGTTTACTGTCTCAAAGCCAGATTGCTTTGCCTGGTTCCCCAAGCCTTCTTTAATCCTGTTGCACTTGTCCTAAGTAGTACCCCTGTCCTTCACTCTGTTTTCCAAGCTATTAGAAGTCTTAGTGTTTTGTGCAGGCTGCTCCTGCTCAATAGTTTTCTCCCTAGGTTCTCCTCTAATACAAGCCAATCTTCAAGATAGTGCTTAAAAGTCCTACCTCCCACATGATGTTCTTTTCTGTTTATTGGAACTCACCATGATGTGCACCTGGTTATTATTTGTCAGAATTACACTTTAAACTGTAATTTAATTACTCAGCATCTTCACTGCCATTACAATCCAACTTAATTCCATAAATATTTTTTAAATGCTGTACCAAAAATGGGGCTAGGTGAGCAGGAGGATCACCTTTAAAAAGGGCCTAGGTTTGGAATTGGCCCTATAAATAAGTATGAGGCACATGCTCCTGCTCATTGCCTTTATGAGCATAGACCCGGGCACAGGCAGGGGCCATGTTTATCTAATTACATAACCCCCATATTAGAAATTGCTAGTAAGACAGCAGCATGCCAAAACATTTACATGGCCTCACCCAGGGTTCAAATCCCATGAGCTAGGAGTGGAAACTCTGGGGTCTAATCAAAAGTGTCTCCTTGGTTTTCTTTTTCATGAATGAAGGATCACTGTTTATACAGCTTCTTGTTAAAGTAACACCGGCCCATCTATAGAAGGCCTTATTGCCACACGACTTTGGATTTGAATTTCAACTCCTCCAATGAGTAGCTCATTGTAACCTGGGCAAATTAACCAAATTCCACACCTCACTGTCCTATATGTACAATGACGATAACAATATTAACAAGGTTGTGATAGGGGTTAAGTGAATTAATCGTTCATGGCGCAGAATACTCAATGCTAGCCCTTAGTGTATGTCCCGACAAGCCCATTTCTCTCCCTTACAATGTAAGACTGTCTTTTTTTTTTTTTTTCTTTTTTTTTTTTCTATGCGTCCCTTCTAGTTTCCAGGGCGGTGCCTGTTTCAAAACTGCAGGTGAATAAACGTGGAATGAACAAACAAACCCACCAGGTCACTTTTATTTCTGCATTTCCCATTGCTGCGCCAAATGAGCAAAGCTGAGAAAGCAGGTGAAAGTGGTCTTTTTGTGAAACATCTTCCCTTAACCGGGTTCTACCCGAGGCCCCCAATGACAGGCACCTGTCAAACCCGGGGATGCTGACAGCGGGCCGCGCCGGCCGCAGCGCTCTCCCGGGATCACCTTGCGCTCAGGCCTGGCGCGGAGACGGGCTGGTCGGCTTCCCGGGACGTTCTGCGCAGGCGCAGCGCGCCCCACCTCTGCGCTCCTTCCGGCAGCGCCACCCGGAAGTGGCGGCCGGTCCCTTCCTCCTTCCGCCCCCCCCCCTCGTCGGCAGGGGTGGTGCGTGCGGGGCGGTCCGGCGAGGAGGCGGGACACGTCGGCGCTAGAACCACCGCCGCCGCAGCCGCAACTCCTGTTCCATCTGCCGCTTCCTGGGGTGAGTCCGCCCGTGGTCCGGGCGGCGTCAGGTGCGTTCCTCCCGCCGGGCTCCTGCCTGCGTCCGCCGCCGCCGCCGCCGTAGCTGTAGCTGTTCCGGGCCCCCTGCCCCACCGCCGAGATGGCGACGCGCTCCTGCCGGGAGAAGGCTCAGAAGCTGAACGAGCAGCACCAGCTCATCCTGTCCAAGCTGCTGAGGGAGGAGGACAACAAGTACTGCGCCGACTGCGAGGCCAAAGGTAACGCGGACGTCGCCTTCCCTGGTCCGGGCCTCCCGCCGCCGGTGACCTTCCCGTGGCCGCGGTGCCCGGGCCCGAGCGGCGGCGGCGGCGGCGGCGGCGGCGCCCGGTCGCCCCGGCCCTGAAGGGAGGGCGGGCGCGGGCTGCAGTGGACCCCCACCCTGATGTCCGCCCAGAACGGCGGCCAGGTCAGGCCCACGGACGCCGTCCCAGCCTCTGCCTCTTCCTTCCCGGCCCCGGGGTTGAGCCAGTGCCCGCGTCGCGGAGCTCGGACCCTGCGCCGGGCCGGGTCGGGCCGGACCGGGGCGGGTCTAGGAGCGCGGACCCGGGTGCCGGCCTGGGCAGTGCTGGGGGTTAAAGGGTTGCCCTTCTCCCGCCGTGGCCCACAGGTACCTCTGTGGGTGAGGCTACCCTTCAGTCTCCTTCCCAGTAACTTCCTCCTCCCTCTCCCGGCGCCGGTGCTCGGTGTTCCAGGTGGATCCTACCTGCCTGCCCACCGACAGCTTCTGGACAGGGCTTTTGCTTCTGCTTCCTGAGAAAGAGGATAGGATGGTGGTCCTTATTGGTGGGCTGTAGTTCTACTGAGTTTGGGAGGGGTCGTCGTCATCATCATCATCATTAGTAGTAGCAGCCAGATTGAACAGGAATTTTATTACATGAGTCTCTTGGACAGTGTGGGCTTATGCTCCTGAAGATTTTAATCATTAGATTGCCTCTCAACCGCTTATTGCCCCATAATGTTCATGGTATATTTTAAAGATTCAGAGATGGGGGAAAAAAAAATCTAATTTTAATTTGTTCAGTTGGAGGGCTTTCAGCCTCAGCCTTTGGAATAGATGCACTATTTTTAGCCTATATGTTTTGGATTTGGAGATCTGGTTTTATTTAATGTCTTGTAACCCATCTCATGGGAAAAGTTTCAGATTTTTAAAACCAAATCTCTCATGTGGTTAGGAAGAGATCTTGCTTATTTGTAAATTGGTGTATTTGTTGATTCGGTGAGAAATAGGTAGTCAGGCAGTCAGTCTTTGAGAATGTCCTTTAAGATTTCTGCATTATTTGACCTAGACTTTTCCTGAAGCTTTACTTTTCTTCCAAAATACTGTACAAATGAGTCACATTTCTGTAGGCTGATGTTTGATTTGACTAAGCCACACAGCATCAGTAAGTTACTGCACTTACCATAACAGGTCCTGGATTACTGTAACTAGACCATCTTATGAGTATTTTTCAATATAGTAACTTGATTGCACAAACCTTATATTTGGTCTATGTGATGAATTAAAAATGCTTGATTATTGTAGTAACATTTGTTTACCTGATATCATGTGTGTGGTGGTTTTTTTGGGAATACTGTTCTGTATTGAGGCTCAATTGCTCACTCATCACTGCACTAGTAGAACACTGTATTTAGGAAGTAAGGAAGGAGAAAAGCATGACACAGGTGCAGTATCCTGTTATTGATACTACTCTTACTACATCTGTTGAGCAATTGGAGAATAAGAACAGGCAAAAACCATTTCTTTTTTTTAGTTTGGTCAAGTTTTTAAATGTTCTAAATCTTCCATTTCCTGGCTAATGAAATGAAAGAAAATAGGATTCTACTGAGTCTCTTATCTATCAACTCCAGGACTTCTGTGGGAGCAAATGAGATGAGGCATGTGAAAACACTTCACAAACATTTGGTTAAAGTGTAAAATATTTGCACCTGGCTATAAAGCAAGTCGTGTTCCTGGGTTGAAGAAACTCCGAGGCTAATTGCCAGGGAGAGGAAGTCAGGCGTTGCTATGTGATGTCATCCCGAGTCCACAGCGATTGTGTCAGGCTAGGCTATGGGCTGCATGGGGTCTTGGCAGTGTTGGCTGTGATTTGGTGGGGTATCACTCTGGGGTGGTGGTGGGGCCTGTGTCCTATTTGGGTGAAGCTGAATGTTGGTTTGTCAGTACCAGCCAGGTCTGTGGAGCTGTTTATTTTTAAACTAGAGGTCTGGTGTATGAAATTGTGCACTGGGGGGGAGGGGGTCCTTCAGTCTGGCCTGTGCTCTGTTGCAGTCCAGGACTCCTCGCTCCTTACCATGCACCCAGCCTGCTCACTGCTCCTTACTGCTCGGCTCGCTGCTCCTTAGTGCTGCCTCGGAGGCGGGAGAGGCTCCTGCCGCTGCCTGCTACCTTTGCCATCCATCAAGCCCAGCGTCTGCTGAGCGACGCTCCCCCTGTGGGAGTGCACTGACCACCAAGGGCCAGCTCCTGTGTTGAGCATCTGCCCCCTGGCGGTCAGTGTGCATCATAGGACCGGTTGTTTTGGTTGTTCCGCTGTAATGGTCGTTTTGGCTTATTATATAGATGGCCAGTGCAAGTCATAGAGCTCCTGCATTGAGCGTCTTCTCCTGATGGTTAGTGCGTGTGATAGCTACTGGTTGGATGGACACTTAGCCTTTTATATGTATAGAGTAGTACGTGCACTAGTAACTCGCTGCCACTTGCCTCAGCTGGCCATCCGCCCACAACCACTGGTAGCTTTCGATTGCTCATAGCTCGCTGCTGCATCATGCTGCTGCATCATCCTGTGGCCCGTTGCCCTGCCCTCCTGTAGCTCTCCCCGCTCCTAGCTTGCTGCCCCCCGCTCCCCTGTAGCTCTCCACCACTTGTAGATTGGTCATGATGTAATGGCATAACTGATAATTAGCATATTCCTCTCATTATATAGGATACTGTACTTGGTTAATTCAAGTGTTTTCTTGCTGCTGCTGCTGCTACTACTACTCTTTACACTGCATGAAATAAATTGGTTTTTCCTTCCATTTATTAATAGGAGATCAAAGAAACTTTAAATTGCAATTATCAAAAGTGTTGACTGACTGCCTTATATTCTGACCACTGGGAAAAGTTAATTTAACAAACGAGATTTTTTTTTTGCAAATCAATATTTCCTACAAAGATTAGATATCATGTCAAATACTGTTAAGTGTGCGTTTTGGGTTATGGTCCAGAAACTAGTTAGGGATCTTATTAGACATGAAACAATGATCAGTTAAATTCTACTCTATGTGTAGACTATAGATTAGTTAAATTTAGCAATGGAAGAGCTTAGTGTGATCTGGAGATGGTAGAACTTTAAGCTTGGAAGTTAAATCAACTAATAGCATTACATATATATGTATAAGTTGTATAGTGCTTCCCTCTTGCCAGGTACTATTGTGAACACTGCATATATTAATTTAATACTCAAAACAACCTTTTGAGGTAGGTACTATTATCCCACCTTACAAACAAACTGAGGCACACAGAGCTTAAGTAGCTTTCTCAAGATTATATAGCTAGGAAATGATAGAGTGAGAAATTTTTTCTTTTTTAAAAAAAAGTTTTTAAAATTGATTTTATTGAGAGAGGGAGAGAGCGACAGAAACATTGATCGGCTGTCTCCCTTATGCCCTCCACTAGGGATCAAGATTGCAAACCAGGCCTGCACCCCGACCAGGAAGTGAACTGGTGACCTTTTTGTGCATGGGATGATGCTCAACCCACAGAGCCTCACCGGCCAGGCAGAGAGCCAGGAATTTTTTCATTGAAAGAAATTTTATTATCTATCTATTATATATATATATATATATATATATATATATATATATATATATATATATACATATATATATATATATATATATTTATACACACACACACATATATATATATATATATATATATATATTTCAGAGAGGAAAAGAGAGAGAGAGAAAGAGAAAGAGAAAGAGAGAGAGAGATGGAAACATCAATGATGAGAGAGAATCTTTGATTGGCTGCCTCCTGCATGCCCCTACTAGGGATTGAGCCTGCAACCTGGACATGTGCCCTTGCCCGGAATTGAACCTAGGATCCTTCAGTGTTCAGGCCAACACTCTAGCTACTGAGCCAAACCCGTTATGGCTACCTGCTTCTTCACACAAGAAGCTGGATTTTAACATTCTGTGATCTTGTCTTCCTGCAGAAAACAGCTAAAAAGGGCAGGATGATGGAAGGTAGTCTCCATCTCACTTTTGCTTTTATTTTTTAAAAATATATTTTTTATTTCAGAGAGAGAGAGAGAGAGAGAGAGAGAGAGAGAGGTATCAATGATGAGAGAGTCATCTCTCTGCTGTTCCCCACATATCCCACACTGGGGATTGAGCCTGCAACCCAGGCATGTACCCTGACCAGTAATCAAACTGTGACCTCCTAGTTCATAGCTTGATGCCCAACCACTGAGCCATGTCTGCTGGGCTCACATTTGCTCATAAATATTTCATAATGTATCTAATTGGTGTAAACTAATTCTCATTCAGAACTCTTAACTACAAAGGAATCTTAGAAAACGTTTTAGCTCTCTGTTCTCTGAATACAAGAAGGCACTCCAGAAATAGGGTGGAATAGAGGTTGTGTGATCAAATTAGCAAATCTGCCATGGTTTCTTTTATCAGAATGAATGGAACATCCATATCTTGACCTGAAGAGAACTGGAAAGTCCTCAGTCAGCCAATTTTTGTGTGTCTTTGGTTCTCTCTGCATCTCTGGGTATTTTAAGGGACTCTTCATGCCTGCTTCATTCTTTATTGAGTACTTTGCTTACTTGTTGATTCGCTTGCCATATACTTCATTAGCTCCTAAGTCTGTGTGAACTGCTATTTGCCTTCCTATAGGTGGTTATCTCTTTTTTTTTTGGGTAATACTTCATATTCCTGGTATAGGATTTGGCCCATCCTGGGCCAAATGCCCACTCTGGTCATTTTGGCTTGGAGGCAGGAGAACTGCAATAATAGCAGGTAGTTTTCTGTGGCCTAGATCAGGCAAGTTTTTTAAGAAGGAGGCGTGGTGAAATAAGTTAGAGAAAGAATCACATGATCTCACTCATTTGTGGGATCTAATGGACAAAATAAGCTGATGAACAAAGGAGATCCAGAGACATGGAGCCTGAGGGAAGATGGGAGTGGGTGGGGCGGGGCCAACCAAAGAATTTATATGCGTACT